GCACCAAGAGGTCGCTGGTTCAATCCCCCGTCAGGGCACATGCCCAGGTTGTGGGCCAAATTTTCGGTCGGGGGCATGCAGGAGGCGGCCAGTTAATGTTCTCTCTCATCGATGTTACTAGCTCTCTCCCTCTCCCTTCCTCTCTCTCTAAAAATCATTAAAGAACAAAAAAGATTAAAAAAATCTTTAGGTCTACATCTGTTTACATTATTTTTTAAACTGTCTATTAAAAACTACAAATTAATTTATAACTGGGCATTGAATATTTTCTTACTAATTTGAAGTAATTATTTATATATGGGTATTTACTCTATTTTTTATGTATTACATAATATATAGAGAATACTTTTAGTAATTTGACATATTAAATTTGTTTTATTTTTAATGTAATTATATATGAATCATTGTTTTTTAACCTTTGCCACTGTATTTTAGTTTATCTTTCCCCAAATCCAGTAGATATTCAAGGACATTCTCTTCCAGTATATTTATTCCTGTACTTTTATAGTCATTATTTATAATGGCATTTTATCAATACAATACTCTTTTGAGCTTTCTAGTCTCTTCTAAATACGTGGCTGTTTTTGGAACATCATACTATTTAATCTCTAGCACTACAAGTTCTCCTTTACTTTTCCTCTTTACGTGAGCATTTTGCAGCTCTTATTTTTCCTATAAAAATGAAATTCAGAATCACTGACCTGTAAAAAATTATTGCTCAGTTTTTTATTAAATTATATTACATTTACAAATAAAGTGAATGAAAATAATGAATTGTCTTTGTATCTAGAAACACTGAGTGTTCACACCCTCACAATCATTCACATTTCTTACAAAGTTTAATCCTCGGCATACTTTTGTTGCTACTGTGAATAGGCTCCTTTTTTCTGGTACTTTTGAACTAGTTATTATTACTATATAGGTCATATTGCATTATTTAAATGGAACCTTACTACACTCTATTAGTTTCAGTTGATTGTCTTGGAGATATTTTATTATCTATAAATAATTTTATCCTACTACTTCTCTCTTTTAGTTCTTTTTCTTTTCTTAATACATTACCTTGATATTTCAGAGCTATTTTAGATAGTAGTGATGATAGCTGGTTATGCTGTTAATTCTAATAGAAGATAAAATTCTAGTGTTTTAGCATTATTAGTATTTTCACTATTGACAGATTGATTCCAATTTTGTTTTAAAAATCACAGATACTTCTCATAAAATATTAACTGTATAATTAGCTAAACAGTGAGATAATGGGAGATTTTATTTTCCTTCACATTTGCCAGTAAATGAATTGTTTGGGTTTTCTAAATCTACCTTGATACTTTTTAAAATTTAAATTTTGTTGATTTATGTTTCTAAAAGAATCATTTGATTAAGATTCTCATACAAATGTAGAAAAGTACCTACAAAAGTATTATCACTTTTTATCTCCAGATAACTACAACTATGTCCCATAACTTATAATTTTGTATATATTTTATTAGATAAGCCACAAACTCTTCCAATTTATTTTGTAAATTTCCTAAAATTAATGGGCACACATACCCTTACACTTCCTATTTCTCTTAATATTCCTTATTTATGGAGACCATTTTCATCTCGATTAGGAAACAGCATTTTTCAAAAGGCAAGAAAGAGGCAAAACATTAAAAGCTTTTTCTTTAAAAAAACATTTTACTGTCTTTTGTGAAAGACAGCATATCTAAAACTAATGTCTCAAAGTAAACTTATTCTAATACGAATATCTCATCTTTTTTTTTTTTTAATCAAAATACACGTGTGCTTAAGACAACAGTACAAGATTCCATAAAATAAAAATATTAACAATTTGATATTAGGAAAGTCAAAACATTCCCAGATCAGTGTTCATGAAAACCAGACTCCAATACTGTTAATATAAGACATGCATTTAACAAATGTATATGGCAATTTCTTCAAATCCTGTTTCTTCCTTCATTAAATAATCAGTATATTGAACCTATCTTGAAATGAATTTGAAATACATCATCAAAAAATGTCAACCTCAAATATAACAGCTAAACTTTTCTTTTTAGTCTACCAGGGAAGTTTCAAAATGCTAAAAAATGCAAACTGCTACCCATGTTCTAAAAACAGAAAGGAAATAATTAGGTCACAATAGATGGCTCCTTTCTTGAGAGAGAAAAAAAAAAGATGATGAATGCGATTGGAATGTTTATTGTCACTGAAATTCTTCAGGCCTGGATTCCAAGTACGTGTCTAGATGCAGGTTACTATGACAACTTAAATTACAGAAAATGCCCCCCTTCTACAAAGTTGTTTTTCTCCCAAGATGATTTCAAGTCTCCTAAAATCTGTGTGCATGAATTACCTGTAACAATAAACATCACTTTACCAGTTTAACTCAGAAATGTCTCAATCTAAACCATGAAGACCAAGTGCTATAAGCACTTAAAAAAAAAATTCCACTAACTCTACATGGGTCAGAAAACCTAATGTGAAAATACACACATACACAGCTTAAAATATCAAATGTTGAGAGTATTTTGAAACTACTCCTCATCACCAGAGGCACAGTATATTACTACCATATGCTTCACCCCAGAAACTATGGGAAATTACTTGCAAGGCCGTTTTGAAAGAAGAGTATACAGCTAAATCCTGTTTATCGTTATTTTCCCCCTCACTAATGATTTTACAGAAAGGTACCAGAAAAAAGGGGGGTGGGGAAAGCCCTATTTCAAACAGAGAGAGAAGCAAATAAACAATCTGTAGAGTCTTATTTTACCCAATCCGTCTTTTCTTTTTGTACAGAAAATATGGGCTTTGAAGTTTGCTCTCACAGTTTCAAATGTATAAACCTAACAGATGCCTTGTGATAAACTGTGAATTATTCTCTATCGTCATGCTTTAAAAGAATAATGGCTCAGGGAAAATTGAATCATTATGGAGAAAATGTGATTTAGTAGAGATAATCTGATTGCAAGACATTACAAATTTAAAGTAGAGTAGCTCCATGAAAATAAAAGAAAAAACTTAAGGTCTTTTACAGTATAGCAACGCTGAGAATTAAGAGCTGGCTTTGTTGCTCATCAAAGTTAGCATGACTAAAATTAGATGTCTCATTCAGAAAGACTTGGGCATCTCACATACCCTCCCCTTCTGTGAGTAATCTGGGTTACTCCAGTAACCAGCACAGGCAAAACAGTTGTATGTATACGTTTCATGCATAGCTATACCCTAGCCCAGGAGCCCTTCATTTATGTAAAACAAACAAAACTTAATTTAAAAAGGAAAACAAAGCAGTGTGTTAAAGGAGCCTCTTTGCACTTAACTTCAAGATTAGTCATGCAAAAAAAAATGACAGAAAACTCTTCAGCAGCATGAACCAAGCAACTCATACATCTCCTACCTGTATTAGGGGATAACTACTAGTTTTCCAAAAAAAGCAAAATAATTAAATTGTTCAAACTCAAATGTACACAATCCTTCAACATTAAACTTGAACTACGTTTCCTTCATGGTATAACTTCATACATAAATCCTCCTAAGCAGAAATAATTCATGTATAAATAAAACAGACTAAAGAACAGCTTTATCAGCAATGGAAGCTAAAACTAAAATTTAAGTGTGTATCCAATCATGGAGAGAACTTTAGTCAGTTTGGCTACATAATGCATTTTTTCCCTTGTGCCTTTCTTCTTTAGACCATGTTACAAATAGTAAGGCATTACAACCAGCCAGACTGAACTAGGATTTTTCAGGTCTCACATGGACATAACAAAATTGCCTTATTATAATCAAACTAACATTTACTCTCAACACTTGGGGCCTTCTAGGCATGATTTCTCCTAATCCTCAAGCAACGTAGCCGAGTCCACAGAACAAGTGAAGCAGTGAGGATAAGGACTAGTGCTTTCAGGAATCCACAGTCCAGTAATTACAGAAGGCTCTGAGGTTACCCTTTTTTATTCCAGGGGGAAATTAATGTATGTGAGGCTTTCGAAATTCATCATCTAGGCAAAAATGCAAGCACATAATTTTGCAAAGGAGGGGCCAAGGAATTTATGAGCTAGCATGCTGGTGGGTGCCCTTACACAATTTATTCACCTGTAAAGTGTGAACAGTTTATTCATAAGTAATTCACTTACTAAAAACAAGGTCAAATTATTTTCCTTCCTGGGACCAATAAGTCACTTTAATGTTCAAAAGGTAAGAGACGACACACAAACAAACAAAAAGCAAGAGGAAAACAATGCAGTTGCACACTCTCACCTCAAGGCATTGTGTGCCCTCTCAGGGAATGTGACACTGCTAAGGAGATGGGGGCTCACACCATTTGATGTTGCAGACTTATCAAAGCCTGCTAGCCTTTCACTGTTAGAAAGACACAGGTCTCTGCTTTTAAACAGGCTGTCTGTCCATGTAAAGCATTAGTAGAGCCCTGGCCAGTGAGGCTCAGTTGGTTGAGCATCATCCCATGAACCAAAGGGTCATGGTTCAATTCCGGGTCAGGACACCTGCCCGGATTTGGGGTTCAATCCCAGTTGAGATGTATGCGGGAGGCAACTGAATGATGTTTCTGCCTCCCATCGATGTTTCTCTCTCTCTCTCTCTCTCCCCCTCCTCCTCTCTCCCTTCCTGTCTCTCTAAAACTCAATAAAAATATTTTAAAAATTAAATAAGTAAAGCATTGGTAGAATAATGTTCAGAAAACCCAAAAGGGGTAATACAATTTGCAAAATTTTGCCTCAGACTCCAAATTTGTAACCCAAAGCATTTTTCATGCTGCTAGTAGTGTCAATCCAAAGTTAAACCTACGATTTACATTACAGTGGCAAAAGATAGCACACTGACACTTACCTAGATAAAGGGCTTACAAATGGTGATTCTTAAGAGTTCACCAGTGAACACAATCTCTAAAAGTCTCCCAAACTTTGAAAAAAAAAAAAATTAAGTCCCTGTAAGTGACACTCTTCTAGGACATACTAAGAAGTACAAATTTACAGACTCACCTTGTTGCGCTGGAGACTGTCCTCAAGCGGGAAGCGTGTGAGGTAGTCTGGAGGAAGGGTCGAGCACCAGGCACAGACACCTAAAAAGGTACACAGTGTTCTTACAGGCCTGGCTAAGTTTTATCTGTAAAGTGCTAAATCACCCCGTTGTAACTTATAATCATTAAAGAGCAAAAATACACAAGCTTTCAGCCTCAAATAGTTTTCCCAAGAATTTTCCTCCCCTTTCTGACCCTCCTCTTAGTCATTTGAATTATAGTACTTGTGGGGTGGGTTTGTTTGGTTTGGTTTCAATTAGTATTTTTGTGCCTTTGAAAAAGGAATTTCAGTTGTTGCTTAAAAAGGTCATTTGATGGGCCCCTGGTGTTCTGAGAAAGATTTGGTGCCTTCTCTCTCCTGACCACAGTTCCTTGCAATACCACAATCATTTCTTGAAAGCAGTTTAACTGTTAGACACTTGGAAAATTGCCTAAGGTCAGGGCCTAAGAATGAAGCTGAAGGAGAGAGCACACAGGCTTTCGGTTCTAAATGATAAAAACAAAAGCATGCCGCACTTTTCCTTGGTGAGTACAAATTACAACCACTGGTTAACTAAGAAAGCGGGTAACTTGGCCCCGTTCTTCAACCACTCTATCTATCGCCTAATGCAGGGAGAATGTGAAACTCTGCCTAACGTGAGTTATAAGAAAGCCTAAGAGAGAAATCTTGGCTACAAGGCGAGAATTGACGCAATTCTTATGTCTGCTACATTCAGACTATACCCTTAACAGATGTTTCTACATTTATTTATAGAAAGGTTTACTTTAGTAACAAGACTATCTTCTGACAATCATTTTTTAAAATATATCAAGAAAATGGACTACTTTCATTATGAAGGGAAAATGCCACTGAAAAAGTTAAAACTTCTTAGTTATGAAATATGAAATATCACATTAGAAATAGTGTAAGGAGAAAGAACTAGAGGACCTCGAATCTGATGCAAGCTATCTGAAAATACGTAAATTTTAAACACAACTGAGGAAGGGAGAAGTTAGCCCAAAGTGTCCCCTCCATATTCTTGGGTTCTCCCTGCTCAGTGGCCATAAACCTGAATGGAGACATTGTCTCCAAATCTGGTTACTGGACTAACACTTCATATAACTTTATAGTTTTTATAAAAATGCCATTCATTTCCGGATTATTTTTTACATAGTGCTATAGCTGCAGTGCAAAGGTTTTCCAAGTTGTATAAGAGAAGGAGACTAGCAGTCACATTAAATTATTTTTTCTAATGAAAATGAACAGGCTTTAAGCCAACTAGTATGACAGAATTCCTGTTTCATGCTCATATCAGATGGGATAGAGCCTTCTGGTTTCAACTGATCTACTCCTCTTCTGAAGCAGCTAGAGCGACACACATTTGAGGTAAAAGGGCCTGTCCATGGAGCACGGTGTCACTGAAAACGCAACCAGGGGGCAACCTGCTGGAGGAGAGGACTGGGAGGTGAGTTCATAACCATGTAAGAGGAGGCTAAATAGACTAACCATCCTAATTCCCACCCTTGTGCCTAGAAGCTATCTGGAATCCAGCCTAGCTGGCAAAGGGATTCTTATTTAAATCAAAATCTCTTTCTGACCCATCTTTTTTTCTTTAAAGCCTCATCTCTCTTTCGAGTTTTGTTTTCAAGGAAATCTTTTGGAAGTGAGAAGTTGAGAAGGAGTTTCTAAAATTGACATAATCATTATCTTTTGTCCATAAAATAAAGTTATTACTACCAGAGCCAGACCCTTAAAGGCCAAGGAGAATATGATGCTGATTCCCTCAAATATAATTCAAAATGCTACTAAATTACATATATGTTGACATTAAAACCTCTCCTTTTTAGATTTTGTAACTGTGAAATTCTGGATGAGTCGGGGCTCTTTGGGCTGGAGTGTAGTGTCCCAGTCGTGCCGGTGCCCTGGGAATGTACTTGGGATGCCTGTGCGAAGTGCCGCCCTGACAGGAACTGAGGGGCTCAGGCTCTTGTACACGTGTCCTCACCTCTCTAGTTCCTGTGAGGCCTCAATGGTCTCCCGTGCCTGGTCTCTCCAACTTTTTGTGTTGACCAAACTCCAAGTCATCCTTCAAGAGATGACTCAAATGCCTCACATCCTCTGCAAACCTTCCCTCGTCCAGACTGATTATTCCAGGTATTCCCATGCGGCTGGCTAACAGCACTCACTGGCACTGTTCCCCAAATCCTTACAACCCTAGGAGGTAGGTAAGCTGTAATACGAGAATAATCAGAAAACTAAAGAACAGAAAGGTCAAATAATTGGTCCAAAGTCGTATAGCTATGAAATAGGAGAACCAGGAACTGAACTCAGGCAAATGGACTTCAGAGCCCATGATCTTAAACACGGACCTCATCATTTCCAATATGTACCTGTATTGTCATGTTTGCCTTTGCTTGAGAGCAGAGACACTTTGCACTGATATCTGCATTCACACTGCCCAGCACATAAAAGGTGCTTGATAAATGTCCACTGAGGTTTGATGAATTGAGAGGGTTTACAGAATGGCAGTGGGTTGCTCAGTGATGATAAGCTTATCATCAGTGAAAACCTTGTTTAGATAAATGATTTATTTTATCTAGATATAATTCTCCTAAATGACCACATGTCTGAAAAAGAGATATTTATTACATAAGTAATTGAAATGGACCAATAATCAGCATATACCAACATGTACAATTGGGGGTAAACAGAAGGGATAAAAATTGGAAACCTCTACACTCTAATAATCATATTATTTTTGATAAAATTAAAAGTAAGATTATTCACTGGACATTTCAAAATACGTGCTAAAGATAAAGCATTCTCCTATTTTGGTAGCCAGCCTGCAACATAGCCCCTTGTCTCCTGGTCTTCATACCACTGTGTATTCTCTTCCCACAATGAGTGGGATTAACTTGCATAGCCAGTAGGATATCACGGAAATAACATATGACTTCCAGGCTAGGTCATCAAAGACACTGCAGCTTCCATCTTGCTCCCTTGATCAATTGCTCATGTTATATGAACTGTTCAAATAGCCCCATGAAAGGTCCACGTGGTAAGGAATGGAGGCCGCCTGCCAACAACCAGTTCCAATCTGCCAGGCATGTGAGCGAACCACCCTGGAAGTAGATCTTCCAGCCCCAGTCAAGTCTTCACATAGACTACTTACGACTTGGAATGATATCTGGACTGTAACCTTATGAAAGACCCTGAGCCACAGCCACCCACCTACGATTCCTGATCCAAAGAAACTAGATGTGATTAAAAAAAAATGTTTGTTATTTCAAGTTCCTAGGTTCCAAGCAACTTATTATGCAGCAACAGATGACTAATATCACCCGCACAGCCTTTGCTTAAATTTATTTAAAGAATGCAAATAGAAGTTATTGACGTAAATGAACACAATAACAGGTTATTGCCCTTTTAGTACACTGAACACAAGCAAAACAGAATGATTAAGAACTCAAGAGCAAAATAAATTCCAGTTTCCAAGAGGTGTTGTCTTCCCCCCTGCCCTTTTTTTCATGAACAAAGTAAAGAATAAAGACCTTTCATTTGCTTGTGGACATCTGTTAATGACTGCTGATTCGGTATATTCCTTTCTTCCAAATTAGGCCCACCAGGACAGGTAATCAATGGACAACAGTGGCATTTTAATTACTGCGGAAATCAGGGAAGAGCTTACTGCTCTGGTTGGTCAAGTCGTCTAGGTCATATAAGAAAAAGTCTAACAGTTTTGGAGGAAGCCAGCTATTCTGTGACCCCGAGATGTTCATGTTCTTTTTTTATTGAAAAAATAAAAATCTTGCCCTGGCCAGTTTGGCTCAGCGGTTAGAGCGTCGGCCTGCGGTCCGGAGAGACCAGGGTTCAGTTCCCGCTAAGGGCACGTACCTTGGTTGCAGTTTGTCCCCAGCCCTGGTTGGGTCGTGTGGGTGGCAAACACTCGATGTGTCGCTTTCACGTCGATGTTTCTCTCTCTCTCTCTCCCTCTCCCTCTATCTGAACAAAATATCGAAAAATGTCCTCGGGTGAGGATAAAAAAATAAAAATAAAAAAAAATAAAAAATAAAAAATAAAATCTATATAAATATTGAATTATAAACAAATATTCAACTGTAAATAAAATGTTATAGTACATTTTCATAAATGATATCTCTTTGTACCCATAAAAATAAATTAAAATTATGAATATTATGCCAATTTGAAATTTTCCTAAATTTTAGTTTTTCTAATAAAGAGCAGGAACAAGGTTTTTTTTTCCTTCTTCAACACCAAAACTCAGACATCCCCCATCTCTGAATATAATTCAGTTTTTCTGAACGCAATATGCATTGTTAGTAAGAAAAATATCATAGATTTTACATATTGCATATGAAATGTTAAAACAAAAAAATTTCTGTGGCAAGAAATGCATTATGATGTTCAGCTATATTAGTTTGCAAAGCGGAGGGCAATGGTAATAAAAAATAATTATTCATAGCCCTGGCCGGTTTGGCTCAGCGGTTAGAGCGTCGGCCTGCGGTCCCGAGAGACCCGGGTTCGGTTCCCGCTAAGGGCATGTACCTCCGTTGCAGTTTGTCCCCGGCCCTGGTTGGTCGTGCGGGTGGCAGCCACTCGATGTGTCCCTTTCACATCGATGTTTCTCTCTCTCTTCCTCTCTCCCCCTCCCACTCTACCTGAACAAAAAATAGAAAAATGTCCTCAGGTGAGGATAAAAAAAAAAAATAATAATAATAATTATTCATATAATAAACATTTACCAAGGCCTTACTATATTTAAAATATAGTAGTAATTACAAAGGTGGAAAAATATGGGCTTCTTTCTACTAACCACACAATATTTGTGAAACACAGCTAATATCTGGCAATAACGATACCAAGTCAATGTTTGGAAGCATGAAAGAGACTTGGAAAAAAAATTACAGTAAGAGTTCATATCCTTCGTGAAATAACTCATTAGATTTGTATGTGGCTGTTAAAATTTTGTGCTTTTTTTATGTGAATGTTAAAAGTCCTAGTATACAGATGACAA